CATAGCCATTGTTTCTTGAATCGCTGAGCTATGCCAATTTCGCCGTATATCTCATGCAGCTCACCATTTTATCGGCTGCGGTATTCGCCGTTACCAACTCGTCGAAGACCCTGAATCTTACGCAAAACTTTTCTCTCGAAAACTCCTAACGCCGACTCATCAGATGTTGTCATCACCCATACTTCTGCACCACATGCCAGGACGGGAACGATGACGGACTTGTAGAGTTTGGTCGGGAGAGGACTTTACTTTTCAATTGCCCACTCAGTCCAGTGTAGCACCTGTTCGCGAAAGTGTTTCTGCACTGGATTTCAAAGCTAAATAGACGAAAATTGACTGTTTGTTTGATGACAGGAAGTATTTTATCTTGCCCTCGTTCACTACCAAACCTTATCTGGAGAAAGCAGAACTCAGGGCGTGGTTATTGAAGTCAATAATGTCAAAATCATCCGCATGCGTCAGTAGTAGCATATTCTTATAGATGATTGTAGCTTCAGCTCAGCAGTTCGTATTATTTTCTCTCCCTAGTAGCTTTCCTACTCCTTCGTACATCCCGAATTCATTGAGGATATCAACTTTGGGGTTTCTTGGGTTTAATGGAATTGAGTTTACTTCAATCAGTTGGGTAATCACTTACACAGATGTATACTAATTAAAAAAGATGCGTCTTCGAGTATTTATTTTAATTCTGATATCTTTGAAGAGGTCATAAAAAGAGCTCGGCTAGGAAAACTCAGTGAATTGGCATTGATTTCGCTCGCTAGGTACTCCTTTCGAAGCCACGGACATCGTCGTGGTTATAAACCCGGCTAAGACGACCCTTCTACACATAACCCCCTCAAATTTGAAGCCTGTAGCCGCTCTTGAGCATAAAACACAAACAACCGTTCAAAACATTAAATGGAACAGCTGTGCTCGCTTGCGTTGTTGCGATTTAAGTCAGCGTGTTGGATGATTGCGCGACTGGTAAGTGCGGCTGCATGGACGACATGCAATAATTCACAATTGTCCAAAAAAGGCGTTACTGCTGCTGAGAAGTCACACTGTCGCCCAGATAGACTTGGACGTGTTGGAAATGAGACAGAAGAATTTGCTATAAAAAGTAAAATAGCGGAGAAGTGTTTATGATTTACGATCAGAGGCATTTTGCTAATACACACTCATGGCGATGTAATAAGCGTAGGAGGCTTAGGGGCTTAGATACTCGTACGTATGTGTGTGCATAGGATAGAGCTACTAAAAGAGTAGGTATCATAGTTGCCGCCTAGTTATTTGCCTGTTACTTTAACTTTTAGGTGTATTCAGAGGCAATTCTGTTTGTTTATTAAACTCTCCCTCCTTCCATTGCCCTACAATATTACGCAAAACAAAAACATCAAATTCGATGGGAACCAAACGTATCTGCCCATACTTTAGCTGGAAAAGTGGTTAACGAAATTTAAGATTAAATTTAGATAGTTTTCACGATGACAGTAGGCCTATATGAAAGATTTTTTGTTAACTCTACCTGCAGTCAAGGATTGCATAGTGAAGAAAATGGTAAGTTGGGTACCCAAAACTGTCAGGATTACTCATACCTCTAAGCTGCTCTCCGGTCGATCAAGTAGGATTATGACGTGCTGTTTTGTAGTAATACTACCATCGAAATCGTTGGAGTCTTTGAATAGAAGATCATGACATTGACTGCTGTATAGTCCTGAAGTCTTGAAAACTTCTAAAAATGGCGAAACAATTTCAAAACTTTTGATGTAAGCAACCAACCCAAGTGATGCGCTGGGTCCAGTTTAAAAGAAGAGAGCTTTAGTGGAGTCACACCAGCAACTTCTTATATAATATAAGTCGGTCTTAAAAAAACCGGCTCGCTGCACCACTATGTTACAAAATTATACTACTTTTGTTGTTGTAGCGGCTTACTAACTCTGCTTCGAAGCAGGCTAGATCAGTCTAAGTCAACGAGGTCATCTAATGGGAGGTTCAGGAGTTCATACCGTACCGGATCAGTGGGAGAGGGAGGTTTAGATGAGCTGGTATTTGGGTACATGCAAGGAGATAGTTAGTTTCATGCAGAGACTCATTGCATATAGGAAATAGGTTGGGTATTTCGGAGTCAAGTCTGGATAAGCAAAAGTTTAATCTCCTGCAATATCTAGCTCGAGCTCTTCGTCTGCAATAGATAGTGGTTCTACTCCATGAACGCGATTCACTGGAAGAGAGCTCAGTGAGGGGTTACAAAATCTCGAGGAATGGCAGTTAAGGCCTATTGGTAAGGCGCCATTTCCAGCATTATGCTTCTGCGAAAGTGATGCTCTGTTGACATCAGAAGAGTTCCTGCCATGGTTCTGGGGGCGGTGTTTTACAGGTTACTTTTACCCCTCGTACTCTGCGGTTATGTGGCGCCACTTACAAACTGACTTCCAAGAAAATTCTAATGTTGGCTCGGATAAGAGCTTACAATGTCGACCACTGTTTTTGATAGACCAATCGATCATGTAGTGAAGCAGTTCTTGATGTACGTATGCTCTGAGGTCCGAATTTTGTCTCTCACCGCATCCTTGTTGCAGTCCCGCTTCTGTAAAACTGAAACTACAAAAGACACCCAGCCGGTTTTCAGCTCGACTCCCACTGCTCTTCTCTGAAAGCAGTGCTCCGGAGATATTGCTATTTAGAGGCATCCTGTGTAAGACATAGATTGTGGACAAAGGCGGAAAAAACATCTAGTACGAAAACTGGAGGTTTAAAGACCCTTGCATGCTTCTGTAAGTTCCAAACCTTCAAGGTATACAGAGCTCATGGAAGGAACTCGGTTTAAGCTTGAAGAATTGCAGCAAAGGAAAAGGCTATGATGAGGACCGCATAGCAAATATTCCCTTAAAGAATAACAAGGCGATGGAAGTCAATTAACCGTCAGAGCTCTACCATATCCCCGAAAAAGCGCTCCACTAACTGTATCTGTGTAAACTGAAACTATGCAACACCAAACGCTTCGCCAATATCGGAAAGGACCTCTAAGAGCCATTCGTCAACCAACGACGCTTCGAAAAAGCTTAGTCTTTATTGTGTGACTTCTTTAATTTATTGCTGATTCGGGCTGAAGCGTTAAATAGAGAAAGATGGCATATGCGGGTAATATAAACACCATCGACAACAAGAAACGCGCTTCTAGTTCTGCTTTTTCCAGACTGTAGCTAGTAGGAAAGTTCTCTCTCGACTACCGAAAACCAAACTACTCCAAAGGACTATAAATCTTTTTGCTTTAAACATATTTAATTGCAAACTCATAAATGATGAAGTGGTTTTGACCGAGCTCCTCCTTCAATATGCTATATGTGGGGCAAACGTAATTCGAAAATTTATCTTACTTTTTTATTTAAATTAAATTAATGTTAATTAATGTTATGGGAAATTTGAATGTCGGTTGCGCGGGGATTTAAGCCCGAGCATTTCGAAAGGCAGAAAGTCGGTAAGTCATTCGGTTATCGCGAGCGGAATGATGGCATAGTTCGGCGAACTAAGAAACATTCGGAAGGACGAAAACACTACCACTCTGAGAGTACTCAACGCAGTAGCCGTTGTTGGTACCAGAGGAAGACGAAGACTCGAGTTCTGTTGGAAGAATTATTATGAGGAACGATCTGATTTGATCAAGTGTCCTCCATCGACGAGAAAGAAAAATGTGTATCGTGCCATTCTTGATTCGTCTACATCTGCCAATTGAACGAAGCAGTAAAACTTGAAAAATTTTATAATTTTGAAATTCGGAATATTATTATAAGACAGTTATTAAAAATTAGTACATTCAAAAAGTGATATGAGCAGAACACAATTAAAACCATATCTTAAGCTGACTTCATCTTAACCGTAGACTACTCTCGATATACTGCTTGTGATGTACTTATTTACATACATACATATATCGCTTTAATCAATATTTCATTAGCAAGTTCTTTAGAAGTTAGAGTTCTTGTATTGAATCTGATTTTGCAGCATTCAAATCATTTCGATGCCGCCTTTGAGCAAGAATTTGGAATCTCTGTCCAGTAAATTTTAAGTTTAGTGCGCACATAAACGCTAACCCCACGCTATCTGGTATTATCGTCGTATGTCGTTATGTGGCGGCGCTCAAGAAGGCTGTTAAAATGACATAAAACACGCATTGCATTTTAAAGTCAAGTGAATCAACAACTGGAACCTCAACGGTTTGGCAAACCAACTGCCACATAATCCACCCAGACATAAACCGATAACTATGTTTGTGTATAAAAACATATTTACACGAGAATATATGTATGTATGCAACTTATGTGCACCAGTTATTCATTTTACTGGTGATTTTATGGGCGTTTATTAGTGCGTTAGTTGGTTGTGCGAATGCAGCATTGCTAGAGGCATGCCACGGCGTGGGGCTGGAAAAACATGTTCCAGAGCAATGCGTAATGTATGTACGAGTATGTAATAGACAGCGATTTTTCGATTTTTCGATTTTTCCCCGTGAAAATGGTTATCTCACTAATGTGGCGTGTAAATGATGAATCCGGTAACTCCATTGCCCACTAACACCAGCAACAGGTAGGCAAACAAGTCGTGCGTATCTCGGCACATCGATGGCCAGTGGACCCATTAAGAGGCAAAAATGTAACAAATGCATAAAATGTGTGTCACCACAAATGTAGGGAACTTTGTGTATGTATGTATGCGCGCGTTTGTCACTAGTTGTGTGGTAAGACTCATTGGCATTTTCCACACTTGCTCGCCACATCAACTAGACACTCATGCAACACTTTCCATTTTAATTTAAATTTGTTATAATTATATACCTGCCTTTGTGCGCTCCTCGTTGCATAGGCATCCACGCATGTGTCCAATTGATATGTGGTGGTAACCAAAGCGCATTGCGTGCATCCATTTTTGGCGACGATTGTCTAATAGCTTTCGAAGTAATCAATTGCCGCCTATAAAACTGCTTGGCACTCATTGGATGAATCACAGTGATCAGCGTTAAGTGATCAAAGCGTCTTGGTGATAACAGACACTCAGTTGGTAAATAATAAAAAGTCAAAGGAGATAAATTAACGGTGTCCTGCAGTGCCACTCACCATTTAAATATAACATCACTTCAGATTTTTTTTGTGATTTTTGGGCGTGGGAAGGTTTCACTTAACGCAACATGTTCAAATCGGTAAGTGCACTTGTGTGCTTGTTTTTGTAAATATTACAAGCTCACTTTAACTACGGTTTTCTTCGCTCTACAGTTGGTACTCGGCTTGGCGTTGCTTTGTTGTGCACAAAATGCGCTCGCAGGATTTCTCGGCGGCTATGGTTTGGGCCATGACTATGGCCACTATGGTTTGGGGCATGGACTCTATGGAGGCTATGGTGGCTATGGGCATTATGGTGGTTTCGGCGGCCACTACGCAGCGCCTATCATTACCAAATCAATCGCAGCAGCGCCAGTGATTACGAAAATTCACGCCGCACCCATCATCACGAAAACTATTGCGGCGCCAATTGTGACAAAGACCATCGCCGCCGCGCCCATATCAATTGGACATGGCTATGGCTTAGGCTATGGCTTGGGACATGGCCTGTATGGTGGTCATGGTTTCTATGGAGGGCATGGTTTGTATGGAGGGCATGGCTTGTATGGAGGGCTTGGCGGCTTCTACGGACATGGTTATGGCTATGGACATGGTTGGTAGAAGAGAAATAGAATATTACAAATTTAGTATGAAACATAAATATATATGAGTATAATAATAATCATGTAAACGTTCTGTAGTGGTTCACCTAACGGGTGTTCATTAATAAGTATGTAAATCAACATACATGTGTATGTGTGTAAGACAGTGCGATTGTGGCCAAACCTCATTAATAATACTCTTTCCTTATAATTCGACCATGTAATTTTACAACAAATGCTCATATGTACGTATTTGTGTATAATAAATAAATATCACTTTATTACATAATATACTTATATTTGTATGCGCATGTATGTATATGCACTATGTATATGTACATTTTGTATATATTCATTGCTTTAGTTCTTGTCTATCCAATGCAAATGCCAAATGCCAAAAAGGAATAAACATTTTGCAGTCAAAGTCACTCGAATTTGTGTCTTAATTGGGTTTAATCAAAACCCTTCCACCAGCTTAGCAGATAAGATATTTTCCGTATCATTCGAGTAAAATAGCGCTTTCGAGACATTTATCGCTGAAGAAGACCAGAGTAGCACACAGGGGTTATATGTAGAAGTCAGGCAATCGGGGAAGTGACCAGAAAAGTTTCCTTTGCTTACGGTTCCAGCAGCTCATGAGTTTCGCTCTAAGGCCAGTCACACTTTGGATAAGCTGTAAATAACGGTGAGAAGGTGAATTCCCTTGTGGTTGTGCATAGGTGTGCTGTTTGGAATCCAGCTTTATGTATGCTGTTCAAATGAAAGACCTTAATAGTTGAAGAGTCTCCTCATTTGATGGCCAACAATGCAAAATTTGTAGCTACCGCTGCGCAGTTGGTTGGTGTCCTTGTAAAAATCACAGTAATTGTATTTGTCGTGGGAGGTAGATCGCGTTACTTGGTCCTGGCAATCACAGCTGCGGATTCCAAAGTTCTTCAATTTATTTTTGACTTGTGTTTACGCCCTAAAGGATGAGAATGATTATATGGCTAAAGCTGATTTCTAAAGGGTTTCCCAATAAAAGGTGTGATTTTGAATAGCCTGCTACTCCGCCATATGGCATTTTAAAGCTTTAGTTTTCAGACAGTTGACAAATAAAAGCTACAGTGGAACGATACACACTTCAACAACACATGGAAGTTATTAAAATTCACTATAAAAATGGTGAAAACCTCGCAGCGATGGTTCGTAAAACTAAAACATTTATCGGTCCTTGTGTAGTATCTTGTCGGACCGCAATAGAGAAATTGGTGTAAAAATGTAACAACTGAAAGTTATGAGGAAATTTCATTTTTGTCCATTCGTCGTCGTTCTTTGGAAGTCAGCATTCCACAAATATCATTGCGCCATATTTTGCACAAAGCCTTGGATCTTATAAAATTCCCTTAACACAAGAACTCAAGCCGGCCCATCATCTGCAACGTTGCGTCTTTGCTCATTGGGTTCTTAAAATGCATGAAAAAATAAGTTTGACCAATCTGGTCCGTTTCCACCTCGACGGCCAAGTCAAAACGAAAATCTCTCCATCGTCAACGTGTAACTGTTTGGTGCGGTTTAGTGTCTGGCGGGGTCATTTGACTTTATTATTTCGAAATTGGGGCCGGAGAAACTGTTAAGGTGAATGGATTGCGCTGAATCTCCCGGATTCGGATGCTATTGATCTGAACAACGTTTACTTTCAATAAGACGGAAATTTGGGACACTCAAGGATATCAGATCAATTATCTCAAACAACGTAACTTTTCTTTGAATATCAAAATAACACCTCTTAGCGGAAAACTCTATATAACACCCTAGAAAGCAGCTGTCATATCGATATCAGAGTCTTCGCCATGAAACATCCCCATATGGTTTAAGGCTGATCGATTTCGGTGGGCCCGTAGTATATTTGACGCAACACACTTTTTCGATATGAAAAAATTCATCAAGCTACATGGCTGTCACTGGAACGAGAATTTTACAACCAACCCAATCATGTTGTGCTGCGCGTACTCTCCGAGGTATTACGACTCTGCCCACTTATTATTGCAGCTCAGATGTACACCCGCCTCTGGCCCAGAGAACGTTCATCAAATATCGAAAGGAGGGTTCGGCGCCGAGAAACAGCAATCACTGGACTGGACTCCTGCTCTCTGAGAGCACTCATCACTTATGATATTAGGGAACTGAGTAGCGGCTTTTCAAACTCTATCCGAATCACTGCCGCAGAACAAACTGGCTTTCGATAATGTCAGAAAAATAGGAAGTGCAATTACCGCTCTCGTGCCGCAGTGAAGAAAAACACCTGTCTATCTCGCGACCATTGCGGACTATGGCGGCGTAAATGGCATGAGAAGAATACCGGGAGTTGAACAGAGAAATGAGACGCATTTGCAAGCTAAACAGGGATAGCCACTTTAAAAGCAGTGGTCATGAAAAATCCGTAGAAGATGAGCCCATGCCGTTGGATCTTTGGTGAATGTGGTCAGATGGAAGGAGACAAGTCCGACTATGGGAACTTAAGTGTTATCTGTCAATGCCTCAAAAGGGTTATCCTTTTATCTGATTCAATCTTTAGCGGAAACAAATTCTTCTTAATATCGCCTATAAAGTCTTATCAAGCATATTTTGCGAGGGATTAAAAACTCAACGAAGTGATTCGACTTTGAAAAAGTCCTGTAGGAAATGATAGGCAATCCTCATCTTTTTTTCGATTTTAAACCTATTTCTTTGCAACTATTTCTGCATTTGATTTGCCCTCGAAACTACTGTAAATTGACAGTGGAAACATCAAAAGTTCGGCCATGATCCGGAAGAACTTCCTCGAGTCGATTAATATTAAACAATCTCTCAGAAATTAATACTAATCGTGTGAATTTCTTAATTTAATGCGAGAGAATATAAAATTTGTTTGCTGAAATAAAAAAGATGTTGTCATATAACAATGACATTAACGTCTTTGCCCACTCCTGTCATTAAACAAACAGTCATCGCATTTGCGACTCTGCTATCATTATCGACAGTCATAACTTTGAGTTTATAGACGAGTACATATAAGAACCAGAATCAATACCAACAATACTGCAAACCTAGAAATCTCATGCATATCCACTATTGCCTTTAGGTGCTACTTTGGACTAAGTAGGAAATTGAAATTCCTCTCTCGATGAGCGGGGACCATACTGTACAAGTCGATCATCATTCCCGCCCTGTTATATAGTGCGTCTGCCTTATAAGCTTTCGAGGAAAAGGTTTTGTGGAATATTTATGGTTCTTTGGCAGCAGCGACAACCACAGAGGATGGAACAATAAAAGCGCAAATAACAAAGAGATATCGGCTAAGCCGAAAAGCTTTGAAAGTACTCGAAGCAGTTTCAGAAGGAGAGGAATACTAACACCTTGCTGGAAAAATCAGTTGGAGAACGAGCTGACTTCGCACCGAACAACTGAAAGAAGAAAAGGCAGTTGTTGATTCACCTCTAAAAACGGGCGCATTAACCAAATGGTCACCAAGCAGATAGTCATGATTTTTGGACAGACAGGCATCCAAAATTATAAAAAATTAATTTATTAAAAAAATATACATATATATTTTTGATCGGTTTTCGGCAAGAAATGTCTACCCTATCGTGTAGCCATACGGAAACCGCTCAAAATAAGCTGTAAGACGCTCTATTAGTTGGAAGAACATGGAGGCGCACGCCAAATTATAGGAAATGCTCGACTATAAATCGATTCTGCGCCTTTGTGATAGAAAAAATTAGTTCCTTAGTGGTGCCTACCTCAATCTTCTTCCTACAAAATCACATCCAGGAATTTTTTCCTCGTTGTTTTCTTTTCTTTACTAGTACAGGGCGGTTTTACCTAGATATTTTTTGATATTTTGGACCTATTTTCGATATGTGTGTAACATTCAAAACAGGCTTTCATAATTTCCTTAAATAAGCTACTACTCCATGCCGTTTCCATAATAAAAAGCATAAATATTTACATTAGATATTTTAATATTTTTTTATTTTCAGCGGCAGAAATTTATATACAAACAATTTCTATGCATTTCTTTGCAAAGAAATAAGAAAAGAAGAAAATTACAACATATCTACATAACATATTTACATTTACAAACGACCCATTGCAGCAACACAGGAAATTTCTTTCCTCTCGTCTACGATTCCACAACGACTCACATTTACCAGCCATGACCCAAACCAATACCATGGCCCAAACCGATACCACCGATACCACCGAGACCATGACCCAAGCCAACACCATGACCCAATCCCAATCCATAACCATGTCCCAAACCATAGCTCAAGGATGGAGCAGCGATCGAGGCATGCGACAAGATTGGTGCAGCAGCTATTTTTGTAATTGCCGGAGCAGCATACGAGATGGCTGGAGCATGCGATATGGCTGGAGCATAACTGATTGCTGGAGCTGCGATCTTGGTGATAGCTGGAGCAGCATAAGAGATTGATGGTGCGGCGAGTGCAGCATGACCATAAGAAATGGCAGGGGCGGCATGCGCCAACGATAAGGCCGGGCCAGAGGATAGGCCACCCAAAAGAGCACCACCATGCGCGCCACTCAAGTATCCTGGAGCAGCGGCGACGCTAGCTACCAACGCCAAGGCGACAACGACAACCTGGAAGGATGTCGGAGAGAGCACAAACAAACATTTTAGATATTTCAAAAGCAGATTTTACACAAAACACAATAAACACAGTATACTCCGAAGACGTTGTCTCGCGGCGAGTACTCACGTATTTGAACATGGCTGCTGATTCAAATTGGTTTTTATGCGATTTCTACAAGAGCAAATTTGATTGCAACGGACACAGAAAACGGATCGTAGCTTAAGAACGCGAAAAACACTTTGATTCAGTAGTAGCGGTGCGCCAATGCTTTTATACTGCTCAAACAAATCATTTTGTTTTTTACGTTAGAAACACAACAAAATACAAATCCGCCACCAAGTCACTAAGCACATTTAAACTGGGCGGGAAGCGGATTGGCAAGGCAATTGCGCTGTTGCAGTAATTGAGAGGCATGCAACAAACGCATAGCTGCACCGAAATTAAAGCCTAAGCGGCTATATAGAAGCCGGTGCTGGATGTGGATTGACGCTAGGCACTTTTACTTTTTTTTTTTGCTGCTTTGAATTCAAACTGACTGTCAGTTGGCAAGTCAATGTGGATCACAGCCGCATGAGTGGCCCGAAAGGCCTTACATGTTTAACATACAAACACACACATACACACACGTGAATTTCCTACCCATATGTGCATGTGTGTCTGTGGCACAGCGGCTGGGGTTGTCGCGTATATGAATATGAGGCAATCGCTTTGCCGCCGTCGACGCCGCTACGGCTCACTGTCACTCTGCCGTCGTCGACACACTGACTTGGTATTTCTTAGAGTCGCGCCTAACAGTGGCAAGCCGGGAGTAATGGTGAACGTGTTCAATGTGCTGTTGTTGTGGTTGTGACATGAAAAGATCAGGCTTATTTGTTTCTCACTGTTAATCTGTTCCTCTTTGTCCAGTGCAACAGGTTGCAGTTGCTTTATGGTCCGGCTATTCAGTATGCCATCAAAAGATGCGATTGCCGGTGGCCAAACAAGAGATGCGGGCAATAAATTTTAGGATATCAAACTTGTTCTCAAATGAGAATTGCCAATTGATTGCTCCCATTAAAATAATAAATAAAAAAATGTTGCAAAAATATGACTCATTCAATCGATTTTTATACATGAATGAGTCTAAGCGCTGTGGGACTTTTAAGCACCTACACATACAGACATACAGACATATGTATGTGCTTCAAAAATTTTAATGGAGTTATTAATTTGGCGGAAAAGAGTTAAAAATTTTGTGTTTATTGTGTCCACGTACATCGCACAGCAAAACTGTTTTGTAATCTTTTTTTTTCAATCTTTTCTCATTGCATATTTTATTAACAGACTCGGTTAGCGATCGCAATACCATTCGGAAGACCAGGATTTGACCAATATTCAAAATTGCAGAAAACTACTTCTTCTACTTACGTTCGCCCCTCGGCGGCGAATGTCAAACGACCTGAATTTGTTTCTGGCATGGAATCTATTGTAGGTCACTTCATTTTGTGGAAAAACTCCAAGACGCATGCCATGATTGAATGTTGAATGAGGTTAGTCCATATCATCGAGGTCATATAACCGGAGGTCCAAGAAAGGAGCTGCTTGACGAGTTAGAACCAGTGGCAGAGAGCTTTTAAATGAGATGGACTTAGGGGCATAGAAAAAGGTGGTAGAACTCATTGCATACAGGAAATAAGAAATATCAGAGTCACGTCTGCATAAATTATGCATAATGTTATGTTTCTTAATTTAGTGCCTCGTTGATTCACTGCCCAAATATTGCAAAGGTGACATATCAGGAGGTTCTGCTACAGTTATAGCTTCTTCATAAGCGTCTTTCTAGTCCCCAATTTTCAAATTGGTTCCGCTTCATTTATAACTACTTGAACGAATGCATTGTAAGTTGTTTCATTTCTAGACGCTACTGACTACCCACTTCAGGATTTTGTTGTAGGTTTATCCTCTGCTGTCAGTCGCTGGAGAAGATGGCCGAGATTGTTAGTTGTTGTGCAGTAAAGAAGTGAGTAAGGTGGACGAGTTTAGCAGTTTACCTACAAACAAAGCTTATCAATATCTAATATATGCCAGAAGACAACATCGAAAGCCGATCGCCATATGAGACGCCTTCTTGTAGTGCAGGGATCTTCGGAATATTTTTTTCTTATTAACATTTGTATTTATTTACGGAATCTGCTTCGATATAAGAAACATTAAAAATCATATTCCAATGTGATAAATCTGTGCCCAAGAATCGGCTGCCGGCTCAGTGTTACTCTGTACAAGGGTAGTAAGTTCCTTCTCGTTAGGCGGGGTTGTCCTGTTGTGAACTCCAAGGAGATAGCCAAAGGGGTTCAAATGACTGCATAGTTCGCTACGTAAATTTGTGTAACGATTTCAATCTCTTCTTTATATATTTAGATCGCGATATTTTCATTACGCATATACCATGGGTACACCTATTGTTATTCTACATGTGTTCGACTGGAATCTTTGTATTATCTAGAAGTTATAGAGACATATGTGATTGCAACACTTTTTCGAAAAGTTGATAAAGGCAAGCCAACAGGCTGATTGGTCTATGTGATGCGGTAGGCTTGCAACTTTACCAGGTTTAGCTGCCGTAATTATCTGCGAATTTTTATATCTGTGAATGATATTATATCTTTAATATGGCACTGAAAAGCTTTGACAAAAAACGAGAGCAATGTTAGGAAATATTTACAAAAATAATAATATCAATAGTGATCAATAGCAATGACAGCCCACTTTTCCCACTCCGGCTGTAATGATGATCTCTCACCGTACGATAGCAGCGCTGGAAGATTAACGATCCAAAGTCTTTAACAGATTCAGTGATATCAGAAATGTTAAACCCAATATTATCTAGTTATTTATGATGTTAAGAATTTTGGTCGCGCTGAACACTTTACAGGTGGGCTTAGGAGACTCTACTTCATTAACTGGTTTTTCGATTCTGTCATCGGCATCACTCTACACAACCTCCACATGTTGTTTATTTTTAGAGCTGTCAGAGAAAGATTTATGATGATGTGGCCATATGTAGAAGCTCACATTTATTTTGCATATGGTTCAAGCATTTCACCGCCAACCAAGAACGAAAATGAGTAGATCCTTTGAACGTTAATTCGGTGTTCGATTTGTGGCGCCGAGTACTGGCATGCCTTTTATGAGAACATACCTATGAGTGCGAAATCAAAATTTTGCTTTACGAAAACATCGAAATATCCCCAAATGGGTTGAGGCTGATCTATTTTGCGTGGATTGAAATTTTGCTGTCTGTAGTAAAGACCTGATAGATACTCGGAACAATACCTTTTCGCAGCGAAGATACGCACCCACTTCTGTGTGTCAAAGAACGTTTGTCAACAAGCAAAAGGAAGGTTCGACGTCGAAAAGCAGAACTCACAATAAAGAACCGAACGACTTTCCACTCCACTTGTTCACCTGCTTTCTGAGAGCACTCATCAACAACTCTATATGAAGAAACCGTGGAAATGTGGCTTTTCAAAGTCTCTACGTAACGCCGCTATGGAAGCAATCGCTTGTCGGCAGTGCCACAAAAAGAGCTGGCACAATGAGTAATAACCAATTGCAATGGAGAGGAAAAAAAACTTGCGTGGTGATAGATTTCTATTAATAAATATAAATAAAAATAAATTAAAATATAAATCTCTTATTTCATGGCAGAAATGTAGTCGTGGGTTTGTCGTTCTTCTCTGAGCGGTGACTTTATTAAGGAAAATAATCATTATATTCTAATGCAGCCACTATTCTAGCAATTAATTAAAATTTTCCAATACATGGTTCAAGGTAAAGGCGAACTAGGCTATTCATTCCTAATTTCTATATTTTGTAAATGTTTCTCAACATTTTTTTTACAAAAGAACGGGTTTGAATTTGCCAATATAATGCCAGTTATGAACTAGAATTTTTACTGCTCAGAATAGCACACATACAGAGGAGTACATGCGACATGCGCATTCATTTGTTGCTTCGCCTCACCTTGATGGGCGGTAACATCAGATTTGCTTGGCACTACATCGAAGAAAAAATACAGATTTTACTTCAAGCGAACGAAGAAGTTTGTTGCATTGCTATTAAATCTGGCAGAGACAGCTTCTAGGCCGCTGCAACAACTGCCACCATCGCTACTGCCACTGCTACGGACGGAGTGCGTGGTATAAATTTAATGCAATTTCGGCATGAAACTGACATCATAATAGAGGAAATTCAAACCAATCCAAAAAAAAAGAAATTATGTAATACGCTTGCGATACTTTGGCGAATAAGAGTTCGATTTGATCGGTCGTAAAAGATTATAGGCGTGCAAGAAGCACGTTTGTTCGTAAGCAGACAAGCATATGATAAATGCAGAAACATGCCCATGGTTGTCTTTACAAGTGATTATACATACGCATTTGCATTTTACATGTCTGCAATGTTGGTTGACTATTTTACAATTCATTTTCATTAAAAACCAAAAGGAAAAAGGAGGTTCACCTTAATGTATTCCACTTCTTTATTGAACGATGCTATTATTTGTTAACGAGCATAACATCGTTAAGTGCGTTCTAAAATCTATTGTGTGTGGCAGGTGTGCCCATGGTTGGTCTATGAATATATTGTACTTGTGTCTGCAGTCGAACGTTAGCGAGCTAATTTTAAAAGCACTTAATTTACGTACATACTAGTGTAATAAATAATGCATACAAGTGTAATGTATATCCAAATTCGTTGAATTAAATTTGAAACCGTATGAAATTGATTCACCTAAGAGTCACTATGAAAAATTGTGGTGCAAAAATGTCATGTTGAATATACTAATTTATTTTATTTATTTTTTATTTTATTTAATATTTAATTGTTGTTTTTATTTATTTTGTCTTATTTAATATAATTTATTTCATTTTACTTCATATATATTTCCAATTTATTTTAATTCATTTTTTTAATTTATTTTATTTTCCTTTATTTCATTTTAGTTTTATTTCTGTTTATTTTATTTTATTTTATTTCATTTTATTTTAATTTAATTTAATTTATTTTATTTTATTTTATTTAATTTTATTTTATTTTATTTTATTTTATTTTATTTTATTTTATTTTATTTTTTTTATTTTATTTTATTTTATTTTATTTTATTTTATTTTATTTTATTTTATTTTATTTTATTTTATTTTATTTTATTTTATTATTATTATTCTAATATATTTTATTTGATTTTTTATTATTATTTATTTGGCGGATTATTCAAAATAGA